TGTATATATATAGAGCAGATGGAACTAAATAAACTCTGGCTGGTTAGATATATCATTTTGTTATGTATTTAGCCTAATTGAAACGACTGTCATGCTTTAACGATTGTGTTAGTCTAGTACCATATTTTATACTTTTGCTAGTGTTATCTTGGAAGTATATATTTATATATAATTTTTCGTGAATCTCTCTCTCTCTCTCTCTCTCTCTCTCTCTCTCTCTCTCTCTCTCTCTCTCTCTCTCTCTCTCTCTCTCTCTCTCTCTCTCTCTCTCTCTCTCTCTCTCTCTCTCTCCTCTCTCTCTCTCTCTCTCTCTCTCTCTCTCTCTCTCTCTCTCTCTCTCTCTCTCTCTCTCTCTCTCTCTCTCTCTCTCTCTCTCTCTCTCTCTCCTCTCTCTCTCCTCTCTCTCCTCTCTCTCTCTCCTCTCTCTCTCTCCTCTCTCTCCTCTCTCTCTCTCCTCTCTCTCCTCTCTCTCTCTCCTCTCTCTCCTCTCTCTCTCTCCTCTCTCTCCTCTCTCTCTCTCTCTCTCTCTCTCTCTCTCTCTCTCTCTCTCTCTCTCTCTCTCTCTCTCTCTCTCTCTCTCTCTCTCTCTCCTCTCTCTCCTCTCTCTCCTCTCTCTCTCTCCTCTCTCTCTCTCCTCTCTCTCCTCTCTCTCTCTCCTCTCTCTCCTCTCTCTCTCTCCTCTCTCTCCTCTCTCTCTCTCCTCTCTCTCCTCTCTCTCTCTCCTCTCTCTCTCTCCTTATAAGTCAATTTATTTCCTTCAGGTCCGGCTCGTCTGCCATCGCCCCCGGGATGGCCGAAGGGAACGCCAGAAGCGACTGTAGCTTCAGCAAATCGGCCGCTTCTTCCATGTACGGCAGAGACCATCACGGGAGCCACACGCATGCGCACTTCGCTGGTCTCGACGCTTCGAAGGCTCAGCTCTTTGGGTGCGCCATTTTTTCTTCTTATTCTTCTTTTCTTTTTCTTTTATTTACTTACTGATATACAAGCTTTTCTTGTAAATTGGTAAAATATTTGGTTTATTATGTTGTGAACATCCAGTCTTCCTGTTTGAGTGCGTATACTTATGATTAAGGTGTTACACATACCAAATTCGAATTGCCTGCTTCATATTTCGTTTTCTTTCACAGCCAAAGTAATAGCAGTACCAGTGCCAGTGGCAGCCAGTACATGAATGACTCAAATCCCGGAGCTAAAATGGAGGCCGCGATGGCTCTCCAAGCTGCAAGAAACAACTTCTCTTCAGCAGCCTCGTCTTCGTCTTCTTTCTCTCCGTCCAGTTCCTCGTCCGGTTCCTCGTCCTCCACTTCGTCAGCAGCTTTCTTCCGAGACGACACCACAGCCAACATGGCGGCTAACCTCATGAGGCCCGCCTTCGGGCAGGATCTATTCCAGGTAAAATGACCTTCCATCAAATAATGAATTTATAATTTTAGTTTTTTTTATTACTCCTGTTTTTCATCTTTTCTTTCACTTCTAATCTTGGCACATTGTTTTCTGTGCCCCGAGATCTTTCGACTGGTGTTGTTTTTATAACCGGGGAATGCGAGATTAAATATGACTGATATTTAAATGTTCTCTCCAATTTGCGTGTCATATAATCCACTCTCGATATATCTTTAACAAAATATTAAAGGCATATAATGCCACAGCTGAGCGTTAGATCTAATATGTATCCATCCATCACTGCCGGTAGTGTCGTAGTTAGTTTGTATTAGGGTTGATCCATTAACCTTCTGCATTTGTATTAATTAAAGCAAGTTAAAGAAAAGTATTTGTCATTTAGAATTCGGAAACTGTATCTTAATTAGCATTCAATTAGTGTTGCTTTTATGTGCGAAGAGAGGTTAATTTTCTGTCCGACTCCATGAATGCATCTCCCTCTAGGTCTGGCTTGCACCCCCTCCCTCACTAAGAGCCATAATTCTGATTTTGTTTTTTACTCTATTGCACGTATATGTCTAGTTATAGATTTAAAATGACACTAGAAAAGTTTTTTTCTCTCTCTCTCTTTGCTCACCAACAACCCCCCCCCACACACACACACACAAAAACATACTCACAAGAAAAAGGTGAACTGACACCCCAGCTACCGCTACTTTAGCCTTTAAATTGTATTAATTGAATTCTAAATTGACATGATGGCAGAAAAAATGGTAGTGTTGAGGCTTGCCAGCTTATCTCTGTGTTGCTGTTGAGGTTGAACTAGAAAGTGAAACTAAGGGACTCTCAGCCATTATAGTCTTTTAAATGTGTATATTCTGTAAGTATGAGAAAATCGAATAGTTGGTGACTGTCCAAATATGTAAAAGTAAACAAATTAAGAAAAAATATTCATGTCATTTGGAAGTTGGAATGTAAATCTCAGTAAAATGCAGAAAGGGTGCCTGTCAGTAGAATGGATTTGAACCCATGTTTCTGAATGTTAACAAAAGTCAGAATATTACTTTTTGAATTAGTTATACTCACATAATGTCCCATATGATAACCTCTTTCTTTTCTTAAGACTAATTGTTATAGCTCCAGTGTTCCAAAGTTCCTAAGTATTCAAATGGTTTTAGTTTGTATTCTACGATACTCTTTTACTTATATTCCCAGTGCATTTGTGACATATATATCAATGCTGCATGTGTATTTGTTTGGTTATTGGAGGTATAGAAAGGTGATTTGCAAAAAGTAAAATGCCAAAATATTCAGCTTACTTGGAGTGAGAACATATTCATATCAAGAAAATTGATCTACTGTGTATTCTGCATTTGTAAATTGTCATTCTTAAAACATCTATTTTGTAGGATTACTAACAACTTTATCTATATGATTTTGAAAATATCAGACATGGCTCTATGAAAATAGATTTGATAAGATTCTTATTCATATACCATTTAATGACAAATGACTGATACCTTTTACCCTTTTCCCTCATTCATTCCTCCAACAGGGCCACATGTTTGCAGGATCAGCTCATGCCCAGGGTGCCATGAATCTGCAGGGTGCTCAGTCTTTCTATCACTACGGTGCCCAAGGTCTTCACCCATACTATATGACACCAAGATAACCAGTTTTTCCATAATGGCACTTGAGCTTAGGTTGAGTGAGGCATATAATGCTGCATTTGCACCATTTCTCTGAGATTCACCTGCCAATATTTTCTAATGTATGATATCTCCAGCTGTTGGATATCCCGGCTAAAATCCTTAAACCCAAGAAAACATTTAGTATAAGAGGATACTGCCAGGAAGATATCCTAATACTTTCTATTTCAAGAACTGGTAACATAATTTTCAAGGCCAGGGAAAATATTAGAAAAAAATCAACTGTAATAGCATATCCAAGGAACTGGTGAATCAACATTCGTCATAGATAGTTCTGAACACGAGTTCTGAGCTGTAAATTGAGCATAGATTGAATCTCAGACCAGTGAAACTTATGGTAAAAAGGCTTAATACTGCATATGCTGTACAAGTTCCATAGACATATATTGCATTTTTTGATAATGTGTTAGTCCTGTGGCACAAGTTTAATATACAGTAAACCAAATGACCACATGGCAGTCATTGCTGAGCCAGAGAGGTTCAACATAGATTTGGTTAACGGAGAAAAAGCAGCCATTGGCGAAGCTATCTGACTAATTAGTCAGTTAATAGACTGTCAAAGTCAATGAAGCTGTGCTTAAGTTTCACAACAAGAGGCAAAACAATATATCTTGCTGATATATTCTCAAGGGTGAGGTATTTCTTATTTGTGATTTTTTATTATTATTTATATGCTTTGTAGCCACAATATATGGCTGATGTTATTTCTTGTGGTTGTGGTGTCCATTTCATATGAAGAAATCATTTATTCACAAGATGTGTGTTTACAAAAAATATAGACATAAAAATAATTATGTATATACAAGCAAAAACCAGACATGATAATAATTATGTATATAGGCAGATTTTTACTTTAATTGTTGTCAATGTGAAAAGTGAATTTTGTGGAAAAAATATGATATGATAAAATTAGTTATAAATAATTAATATTTATTATTGCACTTTTGGGATGATCACTTACAATGAGGTAACCTTTGTAAATGTATTCAAATACATACATTTTATTAATATAATTTTATAAGTTTTTTACATCAAATGTGTAACCTATTTAAATAGTTTCATTAAGACCATTGTTAAAACTACTAAGCCCAACTATAATTTCTTTTAATAGTGTGTATAAAAGCTAATCTCTAACTACATATAATTAATCCTTTTATCTATGGGTTAATAAATCAAAATTAAAAAAAAAAAATCATTTATTAGTAATACAGAAGCAATACCTTTAAGAAGGAAAAGTCAAAATGGAAGATTTCATTATTTGTAATCTGGTCTGAAAACATTTGGCCTCCTGACAGAGTTTAAGAACACTCTACATTATCAAATACCTTGACAATTTACCCACTGCCATCAACACACGTACTGCCTACTGTAGTTTTGTTTTGAGAATTTCATTTACACACAGATGGCTACACAAGCACTTCAGCACTAAGAAGTCAATTTACAGGCTTAACTAAGCTCACCTGTATTTTGGAAAAAGTTTTTTTTTTTTTTCTTTCAAATATTAATATTATCATTTGTAGTAGTAGTACTGACATAATGAATATACTCATGTTATTAACAGTACTAAAAGCAATGAAAATAAGTAAGCTCACCTGTATTCATGGGAAAAAGTTTTTTGTTGTTTTTTCTTCAGATATTATTATTATTATATGTAGTAGTAGTAGTAGTAGTAGTATTGAGATATTTATTATACTCGTGTTATTAACAGTACTAAAAGCAATAAAAATAAAATCAAAGTTTTCCATAAATCAAGGAACAGGTGAGATCAGGTAGGGCTAGTCCTTGGTGATTAACCATTTGTGGAGCCATCTATTTGTATACAACATTCATAAACTAAAATCACAGTAGACATGATAAGCATGTACATGCCATCCTGGCATCAATGGGTTAATGTGAACACAATGCAAG